CAGCAGTGAAAATCTTTGTCTTTTTGATGCTGGGGGACAATATCGTTCTAGGGGCATGAAGATTATGAGATGCCATCCTATCAATTCTGCAGTCCTCTACTATCTCATCTCTTCAACAGCTTGGTTTTGCTAATACTGGGATTGGTAACAAGGCTGAAACATTCAGGAATACTGGACAGATGTTCTAAAAGTCTTCTACTATTAAAACTTAGGAATGTATCAGATCACAACACCTGCTCTCTCCCAATACCAAACCACAAGAAACTTAAAATTATCCATTTAACACAAGCAAAACCAGGTTCAGAGCCAGAAGCTGAAATATTCTTTTATGCAAAATAGGAGATCATGAAATCACATCAAAAAGACCATGAATTAGACATCTGATGCAATGCATTTCCTGAGTCTTAAGAGGCTTGAGGCTCCAAAAGCGGTATGTTTTTTGCACACAGTTGCAGGAGCCCTGGTCTTCTAGGAACAAAGAGAGGAAATCACTGCTGACCTGCAAAGAATACACAAACCTGACTTCCTCCAGTTCCGTTTTGAGAAACGTTGACAACAGGTAGAAATAAATGTTCCATAAGAGGACTGAACAGACGAGGACAATACTAACTGTCCTGCTAGAAGATGTGATTCTGCTCCACTGGGTCAGAGCAGGAGAGAAAGGAAATCATAAAGATGAGAAATGCTATGTGTGATCTCTCCTGGATTAGATGCTGGGGACTGAAGTCCAATTGTTCCTGCCAGAGAGTCACTCATCTCAAAACGTTCAAATGTCTCCACATAATACAAAGGAGCTGGAGAGGCAGTAGTTTCTACCTCTGTGATACAACTTAAAAAGCACTAATAAGTTCGACTGCACAACACGGATGCATAAAAAGGCTTCAAATTGGAAAAGGTTTAGTTTGCTTACCAAGTAAAACAAACAAAGAAAGTGACTAAAACAAGAGGAGAAATATAAAATGAAACCATGTGAAAAAATTTATCAAAAATAAGAGAAGTAGATAAATGAGAAAATTGAGATGGAGATAGGAAAGTGGGCATTTCAAAGCATGTCTTCCAGGAGGCGCAGGGTGTGAAGCACTGAGCACAGCATCCAGCCCTCCTGGCCTCCCACTGACCACCACCCCAGTCCTCCGCGCACATTCACCTCTCAGCCCCGGGACTGACCACCACCCTGGTCCTCTGTGCACACTCACCTCCCGACCCCCAGGGACTGACCACCACCCTGCTCCTCCACGCACACTAGCCCCTGAATCCCTGGAGACTGACCACCATCCTGGTCATCTGCGCACACTCACCTCCCGACCCCCCGGGTGACTGACCCCACACACACCCTGGTCCTCCGGGCACACTCACCTCCCGACCCCCCGGGGACTGATCACCACCCTGGTCCCCCGCCCATACTCACCTCCCGACCCCCGGGGACAGACCACCACCCTGATCCTCCACGCACACTAGCCCCTGAACCCCTGGAGACTGACCCCTACCCTGGTCCTCCGCGCACACTCACCTCCCGACCCCAGGGGACTGACCACCACCCTGGTCCTCCG